CTTTGAACAAGGTTTTCAACACTTTATAATATTTAGATAGTTTCTAAACTATAACGTTTTAGGAAATTAATTATTTTATCTGAGTATTTTATGGTTATGGTTAATGTATAAAAACTGTAGGTATTTTATGTAGGTTCTACAAATACCTGTAACAGTTATCATCATCATCTTACTTTTTTCTCAGTTTGGGGTATGAGCAATAACTCTTCTTCTCCCATTCTCTTCTATCACTCAACATTATTTTTCACACAGACTTTCATTTCATTGCAAAATGGTTTTGGCATTTTTCTGTGATGGCCGGCGGCCTGCTTGACACCAACCCTCCTTGGTTTCGCACATAGTATGATTCGAAATGCCATTAACCAAGTACTCAGGTCAAGTAACATAGATCTTTAATAAGTGGGTAACAATTATAGTAAAAGTCAAAACATATTACAATGTTACATAACATAAAATCTTATGATTGTACTTTAACTAAATAATTTCATATGACAAATATTGTCTACTTGTTTATTTATTTTTAATAAGTACTACCACATCATGCATATTATACTTATAACTAATTTTGACAACATGTGGCATTATACCTGATATGTATGACAATTACGGTGTACATAGCATTTACTGTAATGTTACTACATTACAGTAAATGCTATGTACATTGTAATTTTATGTACACTACTGTGTAAGAATATTAAACTAATAACAATCAAAACAAAAAATAATTAAAGAGCAATTTACGCAATAATAATACCACTCACACTATTTGAAATAATACTACTCTAAATCTATGTTATATCTAATTAACATTTGCTTGGAGTTAAGGTTAATGGACACTAAACATTTGTTATTTTAGTTTAAACTCATTAAAAGATGTCAATGTCTGGATCACGAGTTTGAATACTATTATATTTGTTAAGCACTCTATTTGTTATGAGTGATTGTATGCCTAAATAAGTTCTTGAAAATGGTGAGTGGAATATTTTAGTTATTTTATGTCTGGGATTGAGTGAAGAATATTCAAAGTTATTTTTCTAATAGATAAATGTATTTTATATCATAATTAATTAATTTATGAAGAAAACAAATTTCTAAAATGAGTCTGCGATTAGGAAGAGTGGTCATGTTAAACTTGAATAGCCGTTGGTCTTACGGGCTCCTATGAGAAAACCCACTGCACGAGTAGTCAAGATTTCTGGTGAAGGCTCGTTGAATGCTTTCAATTCTTTGGGAATGAACAGCGTACCATGGTGACCATACAGTAAGCACAAGAGCATTGTACAGAAGTGATTTACTTAGAAACCGAAGCCGAAATTAAAAACCGTATAATATAATTATACTGTATGACATTTTAAAATTCAGTCACTTCGCTATTTTTTTGTAAAAAGTGTCAATACTTTTTCTACATACATGAAGTCGCTTGCTTATAAGCTAGTACGTAATAAATCAAAAAAGTCTTTAATTCCTGAGCTCCGTAAACTCTTCGTAGACTTATTATTAAGCATTCCGTTTCATCTGACCATGTCATTTTTGCATGACACTAACTCTGAACGGTACCTTTTTTTTTTTTTTTTTTTTTTTTTTCCCGTGCGGAAATCCCCTCGGATACCACCTGTCGGTGGCATGTCGGACTCGAACCGACTAAAACCGCAGCCTTCGCCGGGTACTAATAGCCGGGGAACCAGGTATACCCTAGAAAGGAAGGCCCTGGTGCCCCGACATACCTCGGGTCATCTACAGACGAGTAGACGACCCCCGCCCCGTGTGGGAACCCCATGTTCCCTGTGCTCCCTGGAAGCGAGCGCGCTTCGCAACGCGCTCGCCGCCACCCCGGCCTGCTTCTGCTAGGGTGACAGATGGCCTCACCTGTCACCCCCAGGCCTGCGCTTATGGAGGACGGAGGTCGTTCTGCGACCTCCGGCGCCTGAGTCGCCTGCGCTGCCTGGCCCGTGCCCGGGCCTGGCGGGCCGGGAGAGTTCTAAACCTCTCCCGGTCCCGCTCCGCCGTCTCCTTCGCGAGCATAACTTGCTCGCAGAAGGAGACGGCAGAGTTCCACGCACTCTCGCTCCGCACGATAGCCGCAATCAGGCTATCGAGCGAGAGAACTCCCACTCCGATGGCCGCCACGAGGTCTCGCCTCTGCTCAACCCACGCCGGGCACTCTGCCAGCGTGTGGAGAGCCGTGTCCACGGTCTGGCCATCGCAGTGGTGGCACTCAGGCGTTGGCTCCTTGCGGATCAGACACAGGTGATCTCCGAAACATCCCTTCCCAGTGATCACCTGCGTCAATCGGTATGAGAGGGTCCCGTGACGCCTCTCGAGCTAATCCTCCATAACGGGTCTTACCGCCGCAATGACGGCGTGCCCAGCGCTCGGTTGCCCGAGTCGTTCCCTCCACTCCCCTATGATGACCTGGCGGAGTTGGGATTTCCGGTCATCGATTTCTCGAATCTCGGGGCATCGACCCAACTCCTGCGCCTCCTTGCGCCACTGATACAGTGCCGCAAGGGCTCTCGCCTCCAGGTCCCACGGTGGAGTTCCGGCCAGGAGACTCGCTGCCTCAAAGGAGATCGTGCGGTACCCCCTTATGATTCTGATGGCCAGCATTCGCTGCGGTCGTCGCAGTATCGCGACGTTGCTGGCCTTCAGGGCCCCAGCCCATACCGGGCACCCGTAAAGGGCCATGGACCGCACAACCCCCGAGTAGAGTCTCCTGCAGGAGTCATCGGACTTGTGCAGAGCCACCTCGAGACCCAGCCGCCGGATACGCTCGACGACTTGGGCAACCCCGGCCGTGGCCCTCAGGGTTGCCTCGAGGTGCGTCTTGCCGCGCGCCGTCACGAGTGTGTCGTCCGCGTAGCACACGACGGCGACACCATCCAAGAAGGTACCACGAAGCACCCAGTCGTAACCGATGTTCCACAAGAGTGGCCCTAACACCGACCCCTGCGGAACACCGCACGACATTTCACGCCTACCGAGACCGGTCCTACTGGGGTAGACGACGGCTCTCTCCGACAAATATGCCCCGACTATGCGGCGGAGGTAGAGAGGCACTTCGTGATACACGAGCGCCTCCCTGATGCAGCTCCAGGGCATAGTGTTGAACGCGTTGGCGATGTCCAAGGACACCGCCAACACCACTTCACCCCGGGAGACTGCTTCCTCCGCCAGAGCCTTCACGCTCTGAACGGTACCTGAGAATTTAAAAACACATTTTAAATATTTATCCAAATGTTTACGTAAATAGTTTGACTAAAATGTTGTGTGTGGCTGCACCACAGAAAAAGTATATAATAAATATTATTCCTTTTCTGTGGTGTGCACAATAAGCATAAATACACATTACAAGATAAGGTATAATAATGCAATGAAAGGCGGGTTAAAAGTCTACTATTATATCTTAAAAAATAACTTATTTTTTGTGTGCATTTAGATTCATAAGTATAGTAAATATTTAAAAAATGTTAAATTACCTATAATATATAAACTTTGAAGAACACCAAATACAATTCTTAAGCTACTAATATAAGCTAAACGGCCTTGTTATGGGTGTAGAATAGATGTTTATTCCTAGTGATGGAAACCCAATTGTTATTTTTTAAAGGTACCTACTTAAATACTGAACAACCAAGATAGCGTTTGATATTTAAATAATTCAGTTTTATTGCCCTTATCTGATAGATTATTATTCATATAATTATGCAAGTTGCGAGCTTTCGGTCGGGGTCGGTCGCGGCTGGAAAATATTTTAGGCCGGTACAGGTATGAATTTATGAATACCGTCACAATTCTAACGTAAAATGTTCTTTTCAAAATTTAATTAATTGGTTGTTTTATATTTATAGTAATATTTCATTTATATATTGCGTTTAAAATATAGCATTGCAACATCTTTATAAATAGATATTAAGTTATAAAATTCTATAATTTATGTTTTTTTTTCGTTTAAAAGCTTGCCAGTTACCCAGACTCCTACCGATCACATTATTGTCCGTAGGAATAGGACTAAACGTGACTAAACAAGCATTTAATACTTATGTATTAATTTATACCTTAACTGTTAGTTTACTCTTTAATTATTCTACTACTATTATTATTTTCAGTAGAAGTTATGTTTACGAGTATATTGAATAACATTATTCAATATACTCGTAGTTGAACAGCTTCCGCTTAAAAAATATCGAAGACTCCATTAAATATCATTATCAACTCTGTAATAGATATATCGCTAAATACGAAGCTCTCCCGATTCGTGTGAACTCTCACACAGAAAATCCGATAACGTAAATCAACTTTTCACTCACGATGCAAGGACTACCTATATGCGAAATAAAGCTGTAACTGGCTTGTGAACTTTTTGCCAGCGAGTAAGGACTTGGTAATAAAATGTTTGCGGTTTGCTTTTGTCTTATTTTGTTTCGTGAATTCTCAACTCTATATAAATATTTTTGAATATATTCAAATAGTCTTCTTAAAGATTACAACCTCAGCAAGGATATTTCACTCACATTTTCTGTATTAGGGTTAGCGGGACATAATAGGTATGTCATGTTTTCAAAGTGATCAAGTTACGAAATGAGGAAGTCGATTCAAAGTAATGACGGCTTTAAAATTATGATGATCATTACCCATACAGATACCCACCCAGCCATACAGATAGAAATAACATAACTTTGTGTCTGTTAGGAGTTACAATAATATGAGCATCTCACGTTGTATACTGTAAAATGCAATTCCATATTATATTCGTACCTACAAAATAGACACGCGTCACGTCCTGCCTTGTAGTTAAACTACGAAATCTTTAGCAATTGTCTTTTTATTATCTATAAAATTATGCCTTTTGTGTTTCATATTTTAATTAAGCTAGATTTCCAACCATAACTCGCATTCATAATCTTTTTTTATAAACAGATTCATACGGTAACACCATTATAAAACACCAAAATTATGAGAGTGATAATAGTGTTAAGTAAATAAATCAATGAATATTGAAAATGTTAGCTTGTGTGTGTCAACCAACGGAGACAGCATTATTATTCAAAGGAGGACCACCTGTTGCTATGGGGCCACTTGGTACTAACAAATTACGACAAAATACTACAGAGGCCATGAAATCCTTAAAATTGATATCTACTTCAGTTCGACGAACCAGTGATGAAACAAAAGATAGTTCACCGTCTTATAATTCATCACCAATTCTTATAAATTCATCTGGCAGTTTATTGAATCTAAGAAAGATTGAACGAAAAGCCAAATCCACTAAAATCTTAGTTAACCCCGTCTGCTCCGACAGCGTCGGTACTAGCGATGATAGCAATCGGTCTGAAAATGTCGTCTCAAAGTGGAATGGTAAGAAAAAACGCCTTAAGGCAGAAAGTGGATCAAAATGTCATAAGAAGGACGAATGCAAACGTGATAAAAATGATCCAATTAGTAGAGGTGATGCTAAAGAAGATAAGAAATCAATATCTTGTTTCAAAATAAAAAGTTCTGAAGGTAAATCACGTTCAGAGGATGACCAAAACTTCGGTAAAGAAAATTGTACAAATGAAAACGCAAGTAATCTGATGAGTACCGAAAAACCCGATATTATTAACCATTCGAGGAAAAATAGCAAAGAAATATTTATAGACGAAGGTACTATGACCGACCAAATGATGCTAAGAGCTGACCAATTGGACACGGGAAAGACTGATAGTGCTATAGCGTGTAAGGACATGAAGGTAAGTGATATTAAATATAATTGAATAATATAAATAAATGGTATAAATGAGTAACAAATTTTATTTGTAACTCATTTATTAAAAAATTAAATTAAATTCGAGTGCCGCTGAAAGGGAGTAGTTACAAATGTAAATAAATATAAATTTATTTGTTGAAAACACGCCTGTAGAGCTTGAAATACAACCTCTCAATTGTATATGGAATGGGGTTCGTTACCAGCATTTCGATCGTCTCCGGCGTGTGGCTCAATCTGTATGCTAATGACGATGGAACATTCTCGGATTGCACTTATCTCTTCGCTTTTCATTACGACCCTCTCAATGAACTAAGGACAAAAACTGACAAAATTACAACTTGATTATTCTTTATAATAATTAGAAAGTGATTTTTTTTTTTTGCTTTTAGAGTTTGGGCTCACATATTATAGCTATTTATGCTAACTAATTACTTAAAATAATTAACTTTTATATGAAACCACATACGAATGTGTAGATTGTCATATTTTGAGGGTATAATTAATCTTAGACTAAATTACATTTAAAATCAATTCATAGTGTTATTTCAAATATAGTTTACGTTGCTATATTGGAATTATTTGCTGCATGATTGTCTGTTGCCCATCTGTGTTTAATATCCGATGCTCGATTCGGGTAATTTCACTGTGGCTTTGCTAAAACTCATTACAATTCGATTTTATGTCGATTTTGTTTCGAAAAAGCTCCCTCAGCTAATTCGAGGCTTCATTGATATTCCGTCCTGTTTTATGAATGATTTTAATATCCATATTTGCATAAATATTAATATTCTATCCATTTTAGACCTCTTAAAGGCCACTGAGCTAAGTGTATTTATATTCTTAATATTGATATTCTAGTAACAAGTAACAATTTAGTCACACAGTAAAGGCTTCTAATTTTGATTATATTGTAAAAAAATATGGGCTTTAAACTAAAATATAAACGGATGATTTCATTTGACGGTCCAATAGTATAAATGAAAGAGTAGCTATATTTTAAACGTACAAAATGAATGTTATAATTGGTTAACAAAAAAAAACAATAAAGATTTGTATCTAAAAAAAATATCAAAATATTTACTTTACTTACATTGGTTTTATCCCATAGTTACCTACTATTTCAACAATTTTCTATTCATGAAGATCAATTTATATCAATTATAGTTTTATATTATAAACATTATTGTTGTACGCATGTGTTCCGGACAATGTCTTTTGGATTCGCGTTTTGTGAGGTCTCCATGCTAGAATAGTAATGTATATTTGCCTGTGACGAGGTTTGTTAAAGAGATAGGACTAAAGTAGTAAAGCGTAAATAGTCCTGCTGATTTCAACAGCTTGTAATCATTTTATTAGACAGGGCGAGGTAAACAAGTAAACAACCTGATGTTAATCGGTGATCGTAGCGAAAACACGTTTGCCACAATATGAATAATATGTTATACAAAAGTATAGAAGAGAATATGATGTTAAAATTTAAATTGTAACGGGATATTATTTTCTATACTTTTTAATACAAACAACACAAAGAAAGTAACTTGTTGTATAAGTTTCAATAAAGAAAATTGCTACGTTGTCAATTGGTACAATCTCCATGATGGCCTATAGAGACAATTCCAAAACTGAAGGAATATAAATGGCTATTTTGTAGATATACTTGTTAATAGATAATCCATATTGTATAAAGTGTTATATTGCAGCAACAGATGTTGAAGTCATTCTGAATGTTCTGATGTCGAAGCTGGATTTACAGAAGGCTCGCAATCGATCAAGCCTCTTGTGGGTGTACAATCGTACAGATACAATCGGCAAAAGTACGTAGTCAACTCTGAACAATAGAGTATCGTACATCTGCCTAACATAGTTTAGTGATAACTGCAAAGTGCAGTTTAATACTAAAGGTTTTGCTCCTTTGTAACTTATTTGCAACATGACTAGTGCAATATTATATGTTGTTATATCCTGCAACTAAAATCTTCAAAGTATGATTCAAAAATTACAGTCTATTAGTTCAGGGATAATCTGGGTTAATGGGAATGTGGAAGGGGAAATTTGGATCAATATTTTGCTCTAAACCTTAAAATTTATTTTTGTATCAATATTCATGCTTCCGGCGATAGTTAAAAAGGCGCATGTAATAATAAGTCAAAATGAAGAAAAAATATTTTAATAAATTTAATGGGAAATCGTTCCCTGTCTTTGAGTAAATTCAAATAATTAAATATTAAAAAAAGGAATTTATAGGCATGACACCTTTGTCACCAAGTCTATATATATTCTTTGTATGATGATAGCCTTTGACACCAAGTAATAAAAATATAAAAATATATTTTATTAAATTGACAAAAAACCGTTTCAGTTTAGTATAAAAAATAAAAAAACTACTCCTTTCTTAATTGAATAGACGCAAATAGCCAGATGCGCCTTTTAAATCGCAAACGCTTTTTGAAGTACTCTTAGTCCAAGTATTTGTGTGTAGATCTGTACTTTATGTTTTAAGAAAAAAGGCGCATTTATTATAAGCGCCTTTTTACTAAAGTATTCAAACCTATAAAGATAATCCTGGCCTAAGAATAAAAAAAACATATAATTTTCTATTAATTGTTTTAGCTGACTCATTAATTTGAAAATAAATTTACTAACTGTACTAACACTAAGCAATAAAATATGTAGATTTAAAACACTAAGATAGTTTTATTCCCAACGTAATGTATCAAATATGTATATGACAAATGTGCCCATGTCCAGACTAACATTTTTTCTTAGTATTAGAGCAGTTTTTAATTAGTGCTTTAGGCGTAAATGGTTAAATGCGTCTTATTAATTGAATTTTAGATTACCAAAGTTAAAATTTAAAAAAAATAATGTAAATGCGACTATTCATTTAAGTTTTAGATGAATTCGTCTTTTGAACTTCTATAAGGTGTACAAAAGTATGAATAAGCGCCTTATTTTGTTGTGCTAAAATTGCAATGAAACAAGGCAGATAAATATTAGAAATAAAGGCAGATGCCGATGCCCTTTTTTTCCTGATGCTGGCAATTTATATAACTCAAATTCTGAAAAAAATTTTAGATTCGCCTTTTCAACTATCAGGGGCAGAATGAAGGTTATTTGAAAGATTTGTCTAATTGTATTCAAATCTCTACATTAGAAAAAAAAACGAATGAATACAAAATAAATAATGGTTGAAGCGTCTAAACCTTCATTTAGTGGAAGGTGCTTGCAGTACACTATCAGATACTGATATTAAACCTCTAAGCCACAGAGGCTTAATAAGGTTTGTTTATAATTAATCGTCGATAGCCTCAAGGCTCTAGTTGACATATTGGCGATCCTGCCCATATGGGACTTCGGTGGATTGAGTTTAATTGATTTTAGTATAGACCTAAGTGATAGTACTGATCAATGTTTTAATCAATGTTTTTTTTTACATATTTATACTATATCATAACTAATTATTTTTCTTGATTGTTTCAGGTAAGCATTTAATAAATATTGAAACCCCAGTGAAGAAGAGGTGGAAAAGGTATTTCATTAGTTTCATCTAGTTTTTATTTTATAGTTCACTTAAAAATAGATCCATCGATTTCAGTAAATATTAATAATCTTCAGCATTGATTGAAAAAATAGAAAAAAAATCTGTAAGTATGTCGGAACTTGCAAACAAGAAGCTTAGACTCAATAAGCCCGCGTATTAATTATGTAACCTGTTTTACATAAATTCAATCTCACTGAAGTACGTTAATTTACTTATCTAGATAGTGCTACTACTATTTTTAAGACTTTACAAGTAGTATTTTTTATTTTTAAGACTTAACACGTTTAACAGTGAGTTTCACATGTGACTCACGTTAAAGTATGAAATTGCCGTTGTATAGTAATAAATGCCCACATAGGTGAATAACGCTGAATTGAAGGATATGTTTGAAGCCGATCCGAGTCAAACTACCCAGGAATTAGCGGCGTGGTTTAAAGTTACCCTGCCTACAATATTGACTCAATTACTTGATGCAAATATCATCATTAATAAGATAAAAAAATATGAAATAAGGGTGCCTGATAATTGTTGAATCTTGTGTTGCCTTGTTGAATCGGTACAGAAATAAAGGAGTATTGGATCGAACTGTGTCATGATTACGATAGCCGTAAGCGAAAAATGCAATGGCTGCCCCAAGTCAAATGCAACAGAGCTTTAAAGCAAAGCTTACCAATAAAAAGGTATTGGTAACTGTTTGATGGTCTCTTCGTGGTGTTTATTCACTATAGCTTTCTCAGGTCTGGTCAGGCCTGAGATGTTTACTGTGCTGAACTTCGAAAAATTATAGCGAAACTGGCAGTGAAACAGCCCCGACTCGTGAAGCAATCTATATGTATATTATTATATAATAATATATGTAGATTGATATATATTATTAGTTTATATATATATTCTGAATCTCCAAATTTAAAAAACAAATACCTCGGCAAAACAAATCTCGGTTTAAAAGCAATCTAAACATGGATCGATTTGACCAAAAAAACGCGGCATCCGTCTCCTAGAACTTATATTTCTTAATAAGTTTTGGTGAAGCTATTGTTATTAGCCAAATAAATTAATATTTGGTATGTTAACAATGCTTTAGTTGGAGGAATCGGACTTCTAAGCAATAGCCACTTTAAACAAGTATGCAACCTTGACCCTATACTTACACTAGTACTAATTCATCTGTATAAGCAATATATTTTCCTTCTATGGCCTTACCTTCTTGCTTACTTATTACATTCCCAAAGTATTCCGGGGTGAGTCTACTACCGCCAGCATTAGGCTTGCCCTCTGTTACGTCTAGTAAAAAGTAAAATAAAACTTGACCTTATATTAGATGAATAAATGCTTTCAAAATTCTAGGTGTCGCATAGCCTGTGAGCGAGATAATGTAGTTACCGTGCGGTGAGTAACACAAACTCAGTTTTCGCCGCTCAAATAAGCACTGAAACTATTTGCAGTCTCGGTTCTATTGTATCTCAAATTATTATTGAATAATCTAGCTCTTTCCCCCTAACTCTTAGATTCTTCATCTTTAATGAGTTCTATTTAACATCACTCAAAATTAAATTAGGTTGATCCCAGACAGAGTAATTGAATTGCACTTTTCAATAATTGTAAGTAAAACCTAATGGAAGAGGCGGACAAGGGGGTCCTTGTCCGCCTCCTCTCTCCTTTATCCAAATCCATTACCGATTGCTAGCTCACATCTCTACTACTACTAGCTGCTCACGCACGTAGGACGACGTAAGTAGCTAATTCGTTTGACGTCCTCTTAAAAGAAACAAAATGTCTGAACTATGTAATATGAACTGTATGACATAGCAAAGTTTTAGATTGTTGTTGGTTCATAGTACTTGAATATCTTTTACGATTCTTCATTCACCATCCAACACTTTTTGT